TTTTTTTTTTTTTTTTTTAATTTAGTTAAGAAAAAGAAAATAGTTTTATTAGAGTTAACGGCTAAAGTGAGTAATTTAATTATTTTTTTTTACCTAATTATGAATTCCAATTTCTCCAATGATTATTTATTTGACTATTTTGAGAGCCAATTTTTCATCATTACAAAGATTTAAATTTGAATAGGAACAAAATATATTAATTATTAATATTATTAACGAGAAATTAATTCGAATATGTTAAATTATTATAAATAGATATTTTTATTTTTATTTTTATTCTGCTGAGTTGCTGATGGAGTCTCACATTGGATAATAGGAGACTCGAGACAAAAATGAGTTGTCAGGTGAGGTTCAAAGAGCTCCCGAAAATAAAGAATTTTTAAAGTGGAGGTCGATTGTGAGTGTCCGTCCATATTTATCATTTGTTTTATTTAAATAAATTTATATGAAATAAAAAAAAATGTAATTTGATGTACTTTTTAAATTAAATAGAAATTAAAGTATGCTTCTTGGTGGATAATATATATAAATAAATAAATGGTTAACCTTATATAAAATATTATTATATAATTTTGAACCTAAAATATATTTGTCATTTGATGTCGGAAAAGAACAATATTTTAATAAGATGAGAGCGTGGATTTAAAAGTGGTGATGATCCAATGACAGCCTGTCCCCATAAAAGGGGTGGCTCCATTGGTTTTTTATTTGCTTTTATTTTTATTTTTATTTTTTTGAATTTTATGACGTAGATGGCTCTTAAAAGAGGGGTCTGGCTACTGGAGACGCCTCTATTTTCTTCCTTTACTATAGGGATTTTTTTTGGACTCGTCCTTAAATGTTCACATGATTCGATTCGATGTGAAATTCTACATCGGTTAGAGAGAAAAATGAGATATTTTTTGCACGGGTGTGTAAACCTCTGTTTAGGGGATCGTATTAAAACCGTGAGTCCAATACCGAACCAAAAGCGAACAGTATCTGTTAAGGGTGGCTTGGACGGTTACATTTGAGAATCCAATTAATTCGAGCCATCAATTTCAAACTATGAAGATTAGATTGGTTAGATTTTTTGTTTTATTTGGGTAGGGTTGGTTGTGGGGTTGACAAATTTTTTATCCGTGTAACTGAGAGTTACAACCCAATTTTACCCCGACTCTTAACATTATTATGAAAATTGATTAAAAATAGGATCGTTTGAATAGTTGATATTTAAGTTTGATAAGATTTTAGTTATTTATATAAATAGACGGGAGAGTTCTATTAGATTATGAACTTTATTCAAGTTGTTCGAGTCACTAATTTAACCCATCTGAAATTTTATGTTGATAAAAAAAAAATTATTTATACTTTTTAGATTTAAAATTATTTTATTTAGATGGAAATTATGGCAATAATTAATATATGTTGTAAATAATGTGAATGATATCTTTTAAAAGATGAACCTAGGAGAGTAGTTTAATTGGTTAAGAACATTTATCTCAATCTAAGTAATTTACAAAGGAAGATGTCGATAACGCTCTAAACCACTCTTATCATAGGACATACAGACCTAAAATCTCGTATCCTCAACACATGTGAAGGGAAAATGAAAAAAAAAAAAAAGGCTCAAAACACTCGAAAATTCTAAACAATAATTCGAATAAGCTAAAGTCGATCGACATAAGGTAGCATTATAGCTGACCAACTCCTAATATGCATTGTAATACGAACCAACAGAGGTCGATAATCTAAGCGTAACAACGTATTAGATAGTCACGTCCCTAATTTTCTCTACCCTAATTAGCGACGTTACCTTATACTTGTCTAATCAATAGGACAAGAGTTCATGTGAGACAGTCTCAATAACGATAATGCATTCATCAATATAAGCAGTTCATACCTAGGAAAACAATAACGACAACCTGGCCTAGAAGTAATCAACAGAAAACTAAATAATCGCAAAACTATGAACCCAAAAGAATTCGACAAGGCGCCTATGACACTACAGACTCTCCTCAAGATTTTCATGGCCCTTTGCATCATCCACCGTCAACCGTACATGAGAGCCTTGCCCTTACCTGAAAATATGGTAGCACGTGGCTTGAGTATTATATAAAATACCCAGTAAGTCGCCCCACTGTTGGGTTAAGCATATATTCATACATCCGGATACAAGCAGTCGTACACAATACATCTACATGTCGCACAGAATACCCATACATGTCGCACATAATAACCATACATGTCGCACGTAATAACCATACATGTCGCACGTAATAACCATACATGTCGCACAGTGTTAGAAGAACGAAGCTGAGAGAGGAGTCTGTCCTCCATTCCTTCCCATGGCCTTAGGCCCTTGCTTTGTCCGGGCGGGGGTGGATGCATGGTAATTTCCCACACATGGCCCACGTGTGTGTCTGTGGGCCCACCAGGCGAGCTCGCAAGCGAACTCCCTAGGCCTGGCTTGGTCGCGTATGTATGACATACAATACTGGACACCACGGACAAAGGAGGGCATGCATGATATCGTGGCGAACACAATATCGAATATACGCATCCATACCCTTAGTAGCATAACGAGAGAGTGCCCCAAGTACATAACCATAGCGTGCATGAGATTCTTAAGGTTTACCTCCATGGCATTATACATTCAACGTTCCATCCCCTCGCCGCATTACATAGCATAACCGGGTCCACATTGAGCAAGCATATCATAGTATACTAGTCATCTCATTCATGGCATGCGGGGTTCTCATTACAATCATGACATGTCAATCAAGCTCATCATACATACAGGGCAACCCACTGTGTCACAACATCATATTCATAAACATGGCATACATAACAATTCACTGCAAGAATCACGTACATAAATATAGCATGCATAGCATTTCACTGCAAGAAATATCCAACCTAGCATACAACAACAACATATGGTGCATGCAAGGGCCACAGGGCAAGCACCAACATACATACATAACTAACGCCAACAGTAAGGTTACTTACTTTGGCCTTGGCCGAAGTTACCCACAATGCTAACTCCAGCGCCCAACTACCTCCTATAAGATAACATGATACACTTAGAGCGCTTTCATAACTATCCCTCGTGCCTAGCTACCGAGATACGTCATTAGAGCGCTTTCATAACTATCTCTCGTGCCTAGCTACCAAGATACGTCCCTATCGCAAGCTATTTGTCAAAAATGGGGTTATACTAACCTCAGACCTCAGATGGTTGAAACAAGGGTGGGAATGGCTCCAGAAGGGTCGAAAACCTAGGAATCGGTATACTATTCGAATGTCGAGCCGCCGAGCCGCATCGGAGGTTCGCGAAGCCGCTGATGGAGCCGAAACCGATGGCTGCGACAAACACCGCCGGCGCAGGGTTTCTGGCGCACCTCCGGTTTGGGCCAAAAAGGGAACGAGGCCCCAGGGGGTTGTCCGAACGCGGCCTGCAAAGGGCGGGCTGCATGCTGGCCGAGACATCTCGTGGAATGCCGAGGGTCGACCCACACCTGCCGCTGCGTCTTCCTCATCTGAAGGTCCTGACAGTCCTAATCGCAGAGCTTGGCTACTGTCGCCGGTGGATGCGTCGTGAGATTTTCGACCGGCTTTTTTTCTCTCTCTCCTCTCTTGTCGGAAGGTCATTACAGTCCCAACGAGAATTTTAGACCATCCGGAACATTTTTCTTTAAACATGGAGGATTCGAAAACCCACCGGTGGAAGGTTGCCATCCGGTCGGCAATGACGGAAAAAATGAAGCGGCGCAACCAGCAAGTGCATGCATGTACGTACATAAAGTTGGTTAAGAGTCGGCAAAGCGCCGCACCTGTTCGGAAAGGACTCCAAAATTCTCCGGCTTCGTATAAATGTGTAGGAATGAAGTTATCGGAGATCCCCTTGTTGCTAATTTGATGGAAAGGGACCATAACGAAAGCTCCCCGGAAAACTCCACATCCCATGGCGGCGGCGGCGGCTACACCCCTCCCATGACTCTCACCAACACCCCTGACGATGTCGTAGTGTCGTCTTCCTTCCCAGTGCCTCCTACGATGACATTCGACATGGCCCCATATTCTTCGCCAGAGGCTTCTGGGAGGAAGAGAGGTCGAGCCGAGCAACATGTAGGAGGGTCGAGTTGTGGCAGTGGGCAAAAAGGGAAGAAAAAAGGAGAATTGATTGACCCACCCTCGACCGACCCGAAATGTGCCACTTGTGGCAAGGCTTTCGGGTCGTGGAAGGCGGTGTTTGGGCACTTGCGATCGCACCCTGAGCGGGACTATCGCGGTGCCTTCCCACCGCCAAAAGTTTGGGAGGAGATGCTTCAACAAGAAGCTAGACAAGGTAGTAGTGGGACGACGATTGGTTGCAGTGTTGGAGGCGAGATGGGGATGTCTCCTCCGTCCGGTAGGGGTATCGGAATTGATCTTAACGACCCAGACGAGCAAGGGGCTCGTAGGGAGGGATTCCCTTTTGATCTCAATATGCCTGCGCCGGAGAATGAGGAGGACGACGACAATAATGAAAGTTAATAAGAGATTATAATCGAACAAGTTAAAGTGACAGGGTATGTATGGATTTGTTTCAATAATTTCCCTCTTCTTTTTGGTACTTATAATGAATATTGGTATGGTTGGGACTTAATTCCGTGTTATAAATTATATTAAAAATTATGGTTTTTTTTTTTTTTTTTTTTTTTTTTTTTTTTTTTTTTTTTTTTTTT